AAAAGCGACTTTGCTCCCAAAACAGACCCTTTGTTTCTCACTCTGTAACATTTTGGATGAAATGACACATACTTATGTCCGAAATTTGATAGAGTCGATGCCCAAAGGGTTTGTGCACTAAACATAACCAATGGCTCCTAAGCAAAATAACAATGAGCACGTTTAATGTTAAGTCCAAGTTTTACCTAGTATTTGTGATTGCTCTGTTTTCCGTTTTGTTTTGAAAGTATCGTGACAAACTATAATATTGACAAAATATAATAGTAACAAAATATTGTTTTTTGGAAAGGCAAAATTCTCCATTCACTGGATATGCAATGCATGTCCATTCTGTCAATATTGATACTCCTCAGCGCACACGCGAAGACAATTGTAGTTTTCTTTGCTGTCGTCGCACAATTTTGCCAAGCCTGATTTTTTGGGGGTGATTTTGAGTGACCATATCTCGGGCGTTTTTTTAACATAGATGAATAATTATTAATATGTCAGATGATGCAGAATTTATTTCTCTTTAAATTGATATGCCACGTGAGTGGGTAATGCAAGGCTTTAACACGATGGTTGGGTAATAACATTTTCAAGTTTCTTTTGGACACCACTGTATATATATATATATATATATACAAATTATGTAAAACTTTCAGATGTGGACCTCCTTTGGATGAACACTTTCTAAAGGCTCAACCCACGACCAAAGTATACGACTTTGAGCGACCCTACCTGACTCGACCACCCCTGACAAACCGGTCACTGGCGAGCTCGGAGTTCAAATCCGTTGTCTATTTGTTAAGTGAAAGGTAAGATTGTACCCTCCTTTCCTTTTTCTTTTCATCGTCCCCCCTTCTTTTCTTTCTTTCCTTTATCCATCCACTCCTTTCTTCCTTCCGTTCATCTTTCCTTCCTTCCTCGCCCCTTAAAGTGGGTAGTTAAATATGTATAGTTGTAGGTGGGTTGTTGTTGTTTTTTCAGTCTGTCTGGGTTTTATTCAAAACTCTAAAGCAAGGCGACCTCTCACCTACTTCACTCGCAAATATCTCGACATCTATTATGATAGATGAGTATTTTTTTCGACAAACAAATGAACTAGCTTTAAAATGATACCACAAACTCCACAATATACTATTTACCGAAAATAAAATATAGTTTAAATAAAAGAACAAAAGATTTCTCTCTCTCTTGATTTGGGTTTGCTTACTCGTTCAAGCAAAAACGGATAATGTGATTTCCAATTTCGTGGGTAAAAGAAAAAAGAATATGAATAGCCAAAACTGTTTAAGATGGCTACCCATTATCGAGAAGACCAGTGATCGTTTTAGAGAGGTTGCTGCTTAAACAACATGTGCGTTCAAACCAAAAAAAACGGGGATGGTTGGCGGGTGTTCTGGTGTGGTTTGCTCCTTCTTTCTTATCAAACATGTTATTATATAACCGTCCTTATGTCCCCCGCCTTCTTTTTCTTCTTTGTTTCTCACTTGTAATACTAGCTCTAATCTTTCGTACTTATTATGTCGCAAGTGCTGTAAAACTTTTACTTATAGAAAAACTGACAATAAATTAGTCCAGAAACCACTACTCAGGCCCAGCTTCTCAGCAACCTACGAGTGACGTAGAGCAGAACGGCCCAGTTGTTTACATCACAAAGCAACAGCGGTGCACTGCCCTGAGCTGACAAAACACTATTTTTTTTCAATTTGGCACAAACATTAATTTTTAAATTTAATTTGCTACATTGAAAGCCTGATCAGTTACCTTGCGTTTAAAAAAAAGTTTTAGTAAGTGTTTTACGGCACTTGCAACACAATAAGGTCTTACAAGTGATGAGGATTAGAGATGATACAAGAGAGTAACAAACACAAAAAGAAGGAGGGGAGATAAAGACGGTAGGTTTGATAGGAAAGAAGAAGCCAGCAACACCAGAGCACCTGCCAACCACCCACAGCGAGAGAGAGAGAGAGAGAGAGAGAGAGAGAGAGAGAGAGAGA